GTATGTATGTATGTATGTATGTATGTATGTATATTCAGGTTTTCTCCCACGTAAATTTGGAAGTTTCTTGGTGATGTTTCGACGAAATCTCATTCATCATCTTCAGGCTGGTTTGTTCAGCTTTGTGCTTCTAGGAGCAATGTGAGATCACAGCTGTTTCTTCCTTTTAATTGCCAGTGGGGGTGTGAGCTGATTGGGTGGGAGCTTGGTTGTGTTCTGATTGGGTGGAGCTGTGTTCTGATTGGTTGGGGGGGTTGTGCTCGGCTTAGTCTGGGTTGCCAGGGGATGGATGGATGGATGAATATTTTAATTGAAACATTTCATCTTCCATTAAACAGTGTATCATCTGGGTACAAATATATCTGCAATAACAATCAAAATTTACATATCAATTACATTCTTGATTCTCTAATCTTGCAATAATAATAATAATAATAATAATAATAATAATAATAACAACAATAATAATAAACCTATTCATTTCTTCCTCTTAACATATCTCCTAATAAGAATATAATAGTAATATTAAACACAATAGTCTTATCAGACATATTACTAAAAAGCAACATATTGTTTACTTCTTTGTCTTAACATATTTTCTATATTTCACTAATCTCCAGTTATTTCTAGCTTCTGTTTTTGTTCTCCAACCATCCATAAAATAGCTGCCATGTCACATAGCATTCACTTTGTTCTTTCTCCTGTAGAGCCAACATTAATCTATTCATTTCTGCACATTTTAATATTTTCCTAATCACATTCTCCTTGGTAGGAATCTCTTCACTCTTCCAGTTTTGTGCAAGTACAATTCTAGCCACAGTTAATGCATGTATAATTGAATATGCATTCCCTTTACTATAGGTTTCGAGCAAAATCTCCAACAAAAATATTTCTGGTTTTAAGTCAATATGCTGCTTTGTACTCTTTTCCAACCACTTTTGTATATTTGTCCAATATTTTTTTACTTCTACGAATGTCCAGCACATGTGATAGTACGACCCAGGTGTCATACTTCCTAAATCCAGATCCAAACAATTTGTGCTGATGGATTACTCATGCTAGTGACACCCATCACCTATGCTATTAAGGCAGGGGGGTGGTGTCAAAAGACTGGAGTAAAATTTGGAGAAGATTTGATGGTCATGATGGGTGAGGGAATGAGGCAAAGGGATAGGATGTTTTTAATAGAAACAACAATGTGATTTTGAATATCCTCCATATCCTCAGATGGATTGTCTGCTTTTATTTATGATCATTTCATGCACGGCTTATTTAAGATGAATGTTATGTATCTCATATGCAACATTAAGATGAATGCTATGAAGCTGCTTTAACAGTGTCGACCAGTGTTTAAACAGCTTTAAATATGTTAAAGCAGCTTCCAATAAACAAACCACAAGTCTCACATACCCAAACAACCTAAATTATTTCCATTATGTATCTTTTACAGCCACTTCTAAAAATAAGGTAAATTTATTCATNGCTGACTCTGTAAACTGCTTAGAGAGGGTTGTAAAAGCACCATGAAGCGGTATATAAGTCTAACTGCTATTGCTATTGCAATTCATACCGCATGGCCCAAATCAATGCATATCTGTTTGCAGGCCATTGATTTAAGGATTGTTTCCTGCTTGGGGGAGGGGGGGGAGTTGGACTAGAAGTCCTCTCAGATCCCTTCGAACCCAGTTTTTTTCTGTTTTTCAGTACAATATTCAAACGACACACTACTTTTCAGGCCTATTTTGTCAGAACAGAAGAATTTCTCTTCCTCGTCACCCCTCCACAAAGGACAATAAAAGGTCCATGGCATTATTGCAAAGTCATGAGAAATGAAAACCTCAACTTTTTTCCACAACACCTGGAAATATGCTGAGTCCATGCTTATTGAAAGCCACAATTCTGAAGCCACCCGTGGGACAACAGAAGATTCCCGCCCCCCCCCCAAGCCAAGCCAAGCCTTTTGAGGGGAAAGAGGGGAGGAGAGCAGAGAAAGAATGTTTACTCTCTAGCATTCGGAAGTTGGTATTTCGCAGTGAAGGCCGATGAATCATCAGAGTAGCTCTATAAAAGGCACAGGTTATTTTGCTGAAACCATCAGAGTTCCAGCCTTTAGCATCTACTGAACCTGTAAGATGCATCCCAATTCTGCAGTGGGGTTTTTTCTGTTGCTGGGCATGTCCTGGTGTTTCAGGTTGCAGATTTCCGATGAGGATGATAGCGACGAGTTCACAAAACAGGAGCTGCAGTTTGCAGAGGTAAAGTGATGGATTCATTAAACGACACATTCCTGCATCTGTTTTTCTTTTCCGTGTTGCTTTCTTCTCTATCCATATCTTCTTCTCTATCGCTATCACTATCACAATGAATGGAAACTAATCAAGGAGAGAAGCAATCTAGAACCCAGGAGAAATTTCCTGAGAATTAAAACCTATGACTATCACTAAGTGTTGTATCTTACGATTCTTGATGAATGTATTTTATTTTATTTTTCTTTATGTACATTGAAAGCATATGCATCAAAGACAAATTACTTGTGTGTCCAATCACACTTGGCCAATGAAGAATTCTATTCTATTCTATTCTATTCTATTCTATTCTATTCTATTCTATTCTATTCCATCCCATCCCATCCCATTCCATTCTATTCTATTCTATTCAAAGTGGAACAACTTGCATCCAGAAGTTGCGGGTGCTTTAACATGGGAGTATTTTAGCAGATTGGACAACTTTTGCCTAAAATGATATGGGGTTTCTTGCTTGAACAGGGGTTGAACTGTTATTATTCTGCTAACATATTAATGGTAAGCTACAATATAAAAGACCTGAATTTTTGTTTTGGTGAATCTGTATATGGAATCTTATTACTTCTATTTCTAACTCTGCTAGTGATTTTCTTTCATGTTACTACTGCCATCAGTATTAAAGTACCTTATTGAAAAACTCTTTCCCCCTCTTCTTTCTTCTCTCCAGCGCTATTTAAAAACTCATTATAATCTCTGGTCAAGTCCCGCCGGCATCTTAAAGTCAGGGGACAAATTTTCCACCAAACTTCGAGAAATGCAATCGTTTTTGGGTCTAGAAGTCACCGGAAAACTGAATGAAGAAACCTATGAGTTAATGAAGCAGCCCCGATGTGGAGTTCCTGATGTGGGAGAGTACAATTTTTTCCCTCGAAATCTAAAGTGGTCCCACACTAATTTGACATACAGGTGAGAAGCAGCTTGTCTTTAGCTCCAGATCCAAACAATTGTGTGTGTGTGTGTGTGTGTGTGTGTGTGTGTGTGTATGCATGCATACATACATATACAATATGTATTTATGTATGTATGTATGTATGTATGTATGTATGTATATTCAGGTTTTCTCCCACGTAAATTTGGAAGTTTCTTGGCGATGTTTCGACGAAATCTCATTCATCATCTTCAGGCTGGTTTGTTCAGCTTTGTGCTTCTAGGAGCAATGTGAGATCACAGCTGTTTCTTCCTTTTAATTGCCA